AGATTTTTCACACTGAGCCTGAGAAATGGACATGTAGTTTTCTAGCCTGCTTCTGTACTAGTTAACCTTGACCTCTTCCAGACCCTGTTTTCCGTGCAATGTTTGTTAAGCGTAGCCTTTCCAGTGTCTTGCAGGAGTGTTATAATGTCAGTTGGATTTTTGCATAAAATCGACGACGCAATGTATGCTTGATATATTTATCAGACATTAACGTAACAAGCGGGGTAAGAACTAATATCCTGCCGGCAGCAGCAACAACTATTAGTTTCGAATTATTTGTCGCAGAAATGGATAGTAGTTCCGGACGGAGGGAGTATGTACGTGGGAGCCGGATCCCCTGACGTACGGCCACCTGACGTTGGGCCACTGACGCGTGGGTCCGGGTCCACACGTCAGCGAGTGCGCCGTACGTCAGAGGAGCTGCGTCCATGTACGTGTGCAGCTGTGCACGCAGAGTGATGAGTAGGCCGGCCGGACAATACATATTGGCTCGAAACAGGCTTTCGCCCCGCTTTTTATATATAAAGCACAAACCAAACCCAGGGGAAGAAGTATAGATCGGCACTGTACCCGTACCATCGCACACATTAGGCAAGTACTCCCTCCGTTCTGGATTACTTGTCGCAGGTATGGAGGAAGTAGTAATTTAAACCGCCAGTACAGCAAAAACATGGTACTGCAAAAAACAGTACTGGCAATCGTCAAAGAGCAAATGATCTACTAGTAGTAATTGCATGCATCATGCAAGCAGCATCTTTCCAATTACTGATACGAAGTAGTACAAAGATCAAGTATCAACAGAGGACATAGATAGGGCCATAGGGGGGAATCCATCAGATTCACGGTACACAAGCACGAGGCGAGAGGAGGAAGAAGGCCTTGATTGCAGATCTACTTAGATCTTGCCACGTGGCCCCGGGGTGGGGGGCAGCTGGGGCCCCTTCTTGATGGGGAGCAGGTCGGGGGAGGCGGTGGCGCTGACGTAGGCGAGCAGGGAGCCGCCGCCGAGCAGCAGGACCTTGAGCAGCAGCCCTCGCTTGGTGAAGGGCGCGGCGAAGGTGTTGAAAAACTTGCTCTGCAGGCCGTTGTAGGGCGACGCCGCGTCGCTGCCGTACAGGTCCCACTGCCCCGTCGTGTTGGCGATGTCGTCCAGGTCGAAGTAGACGCTCTTCTCCCCGTACTTGGCCACCACCGCCGCCCCGCGAGCCCTGCGTTCATGCCATGTCAGTTGAGCCACGCGGTGTTGCTCTCGATCGATGGTGTGCGTGCTGTCGAACTCGTGTTGGGTAGTACCTGCGGGTGGAGCGGGAGACGGCGGCGGAGGCGGGCCGGACGGCGAGCTTGCGGCCGGAGATGGAGCTGCCGGCCAGGCCCCGCACGGCGACCGGCTGGACGGCGACGAGCGACGCCATTGCGATCGAGCTGTACGTGCGTATACCGTGGGCGTGTCCTGGTTCTGGAGCTGCGGGGTACGTGCACACACTTTGATCAGTGGATGCTGTTAAGGATTTGAAACGGCTGGCCGTCGATGAGGTTTGTGTGGGAGAGGCTGCGCGCGGCCGACGCCCATAGGGAGGGCGCCACGCGGCCGCTTCCGGATAGGCCTATCCTGACCCCCTGACACGGTGGCGGGGTGACATGGCGCCCCGCTTGCTCCTGGCGGAGTGGAGGAGATCTCGCCGTCCGTTCGTGCGTGCGGTCGACGGGATCGCTCGTAGAGATGCTGTGGGCCTACGAGGATTGCTAGGACAGCGCGTGCACGGGCACCGGCACGGATCATCTTTGCTCAAGGAAATTAAAGAGAGATCGATATACACCAACACATTGATTTCGTTCGTTAAATGGCGAGGGTGTGTACACCAACACAACGTGATGCCCATACGGCCGGGCAAGATCGAGATCGTGATGGATACATTAGCATATTTTTATTAATCTAATCCACGAGTAGATAATAAGCATGATATGCAACTCATATACCGATACATAAGCATGTAAGTACGTGCAGTACATAGAACCGAAATATCTATGAACACAACATATATGACCAATACATGAAGGAGCATGTAGGGATGAACAAATTATACCATTCGATTGGCCAGGCCGATGCAGCGGGGCCAACAGCAGCCTCGGCGTTGTCCGCGACCTTCTTCTTGGCGATTTCGTCATCGGCCATGATGTTGACGCAGGGGAAGTAGTGGAAGCAGAGGAGGATGGAGACGGGAAACGATCGGGAGCAGTCATGCCGAGACGCTCCCAAAAACCTTATCGCCCTTCTCTCGAGCAGGATCTTGAAGGATAGGGTTCCGAAGGCACCTGCTCTCTGGAACAACCGTGCACGCGGTCGTCGGGATGGGAACGTTGGAAGCAGCATAGTGAGAGAAAAAGTAGATGGGGTCTAGGGTTGCACGAGAAGAGAGTGAGGGTGTCCCGGCCACACTGGCCAACTCTTCTAATATATAGGTTGTTGGGTGTTGGGGAACGCAGTATTTCAAAAATTTCCTATGGTCACGCAAGATCTATCTAGGAGATGCATAGCAATGAGTGGGGAGAGTATGTCTACGTACCCTCGTAGACCGAAAGCGGAAACTTTATGAAACGCGGTTGATGTAGTCGAACGTCTTCGCGATCCAACTGATCAAGTACCGAATGTACGACACCTCCACGATCTGCACACGTTCAGCTCAGTGACGTCACTTGTATTCTTGATCCAGTTCAGGCTGAGAGAAAGTTTCGTCAGCACGACGGCGTGATGACGGTGATGATGAAGTTACCGACGCAGGGCTTCGTCTAAGCACTACAACGATATGACCGAGGTGGAATTCTATGGAGGGGGCACCTGTGACACCCCGAGACCGATGTGCCAGGTGTCTTCCAGTTATTCGATGTTGTTGCCTTGTCATTTGCTTGCGTGTTGCATTTCATCATGTCATCATGTGCATTGCATCATCATGTTTTCAAAACTTGCATCCGTCCGGGTTCCCCCAGTTCCGTCCGTTATCCGTTCTGAGGCCAACCACACTCGCACGCGTCCGCGGCACGTCCGAATTATTATTTTATAAGTGGCCGTAAAATGTTCTCGGATTGGGTTGAAAGTTGGCATGTGGTCTTATTATAGTGTAGATAGACCGCCTGTCAAGTTTCATCGCATTCGGAGTTCGTTTGATAGCCAAACCGTTAAACTATAGCGGCATTATAGCCGGTTTTTTCGTCGGACGTTTTCGGTCTCCGGAAACAGTCGCCGGGTCTCTCTCTTCTCTTTTCTCAGCCTGAGGCCTTCTTCACAGTCCACTACCACCGCCAGGCCCAACCTAACCTCTCCCGTCAGCCCGCGGCCCTCCTCGCGCGCGCGTCCAAAAGATGTCCCGGACCCGACCCGGACACTCGTCACCGTTGGATCCGGAACAACCCCGAACATCTACAAAACGTTTCCGTTTTCTTATTTGGACTCCCTAGCTATTTTATCCGTGATCGTCCGTTTGCGATCGTAGGGTCGAGATAGCCCCTAACCTAATCCGTGATGTATATATTTAGTCTACCCCTAGTCCATTTTGAACCTAACCCCTTTTTCCTAGGGATCCTCCTAGCCGCCGCCCCACTGTATCTCCTCTATTTCCGTGCCCAACCAACCACCGCGCTCCGTTCCTCGATCCCGAGCCGCCGTCCCGTGTGCTCGCCAGCATCGTCGCTCCGCCTCCCGCTGGCGAGATACACCACCGGAGCACCCTCGAGGAGAGCCCGCCACTGCAGATGAGCCCCGCTGCTCGCTCCCTTCCTCCCGTCGGTCTTCTCCTTCCTACCTGCTCTCACGATCTCACTCTCTCTCTCGCTCTTTTTCCCATGGCTCTACAGGAACCACCACCGCCGCTCGCGTACATCGTCACCGGTGGCGCCAGATCTCGCCGGGAAGGGGCTCCCCGCGCTCGGATCCGCTACCCTCGCCGGTTTTGCGCCTGAGCCAGCCTCCTCTGCATCTACATCGCGCCCAGCCGCCAGATCCTGTGCTCGTTGACCGCGTCGCTGCCCAAACCGCCTGCGTCCTCTGCTTCCAGGACGAGCAGAGCAGCTCGCCCGACCCCTCGCCCGTTGACCGATCCTGCTGGGTCACAGCCACCCCAGGCCCAGCGCTCCCCTTTCGACCTCACCTCACCACCGACCGGCACAAGGCCCGCTGTGAGCAGCCCCAGCCTCCCCTGTGCACCTCTGGGCCTGCTAGTTTCGGCCCATTCCATTCTTTTTCTGGCCTCTGTGTTTTTGCTAATTATCCGTAGGATTGCAGTTTTACAGAAAAGCCCTTGTTGATCATGCATTTAATAATTCCACAACCATGCGTCGGATTGAAATGTTTTATATATGAAAGTTGCTTAGAATTTTGTCTAGTTTAATAATATTCAACTTTCATGCATGTTTGAAATATTTAAAATGCTGTTTGGTTGAATTTACTCCTATGTCATGCTAAAATGCTTTAATTCATAACTAAATAACCGTAGCTCGGTTTTAAACAAACTTTATATGTAAATGGGGTGAAAAATACCTAGTTTAACATGGTGGCTTTACTTTGCATGTTTAACAACTCTAAAATATTGTTTAGGGAAGAACAGTACCAAATCTATAATATGCTCATGAGGATTTTTCCGGACTTGTTGTTTGTTGTTCCGGCCTCATTTAAACTTGACTAGATAGGTAGTTTTACTTTGCTTCACCTCTTGTCATGCTAACAACATTGAATATTGTTGGGTACATAAACGAGATCGAACTAAATAACTTGAATGTGGTGTTTCGTCAATATGCAACGGAGTTGCATGTTGAGCTCCACTTAATTTGTAGGATTGTTTGTGCATTTTTCCATGCCATGCTTCATTAAACCGGACATGCATCATACTTGATTGTGCATCATGCCATGTTTATGTGGTGGTTGTTTGCTTTCTTTCCGGTGTACTTCTTCTCGGTAATCCGGTAACGTTGCGTTTGTGAGGATCCGTTGGCTACGTCCGTTTGTCTTCTTCATGGACTCGTTCTTCTTCCTTGCGGGGTCTCAGCAAAGATGACCATACCCTCGAAATCACTATCTTTGCTTGCTAGATGCTCGCTCTTTTGCTATGCCTATGCTACGATACCTACCACTTTCTTATCATGCCTCCCATATTGCTAAGCCAAACCTCTAACCCACCTTGTCCTAACAAACCATTGTTTGGCTATGTTACCGCTTTGCTCAGCCCCTCTTATAGCGTTGTTAGTTGCAGGTGAAGATTGGAGCTTCTTCCATGTTTGGAACATGGTTATTTTGTTGGGATATCACAATATCTCTTATTATATTAATGCATCTATATACTTCGTAAAGGGTGGAAGGCTCGACCTTACGCCTGGTGTTTTGTTCCACTCTTACCGCCTTAGTTTCCGTCATATCGGTGTTATGTTCCCGGATTTTGCGTTCCTTACACGGTTGGGTTATAATGGGAACCCCTTGACAGTTCACCTTGAATAAAACTCCTCCAGCAAGGCCCAACCTTGGTTTTACCATTTGCCACCTAGCCTCTTTTTCCCTTGGGTAGGCCTGCCCAAGGGTCATCTTTATTTAAACCCCCTGGGGCCAGTGCTTCTCTAAGTGTTGGTCCAACCCAGAGCACCGTGTGGGGCCGTCCCTTGGAAACTTGGGTTACGTTGGCTCCCGTACGCTTAGCTTATCTGGTGTGCCCTGAGAACGAGATATGTGCAGCTCCTATCGGGATTTGTCAGCACAGCGGGTGGTCTTGCTGGTCTTGTTTTACCATTGTCGAAATGTCTTGTAACCGGGATTCCGAGCCTGATCGGGTCTTCCTGGGAGAAGGAATATCCTTCGTTGACCGTGAGAGCTTGTGATGGGCTAAGTTGGGGCACCCCTGCAGGGATTTGAACTTTCGAAAGTCGCGTCCACGGTTATGGGTAGATGGGAATTTGTTAATGTACGGTTGTAGAAAACCTGAAACTTATCTTAAATAAAATGCATCAACCGCGTGTGTAACCGTGATGGTCTCTTCTTGGCGGAGTCCGGGAAGTGAACACGGTATTGGAGTAATGTTTGACGTAGGTTGTTCTAGGATCACTTCTTGATCATAGATTCTTGACCGTGCTTTTGCCTTCTCTTCTCGCTCTCATTTGCGTATGTTAGCCACCATATATGCTAGTCGCTTTCTGCAGCTCCACCTCATATCTTTTACCCTACCTATAAGCTTAAATAGTCTTGATCGTGAGGGTGTGAGATTGCTGAGTCCCCGTGACTCACAGATACTTCCAAAACCAGTTTGCAGGTGTCGATGATATCGTGCAGGTGACGCAACCGAGCTCAAGGAGGAGTTCGATGAAGATCTTGTCCATTGTGTTGTTTCGTTTCAGTCGATCAGTAGTGGAGCCCAGTTGGGACGATCGAGGATCTGTG